ATATTACGGAACAGTATTTCTATTGGGTATTTAGTAAAAGATCTATTTATTTTAGCGTTCCATTTAGAATAAATTATTACCAAATAGAATATAAATTCTGCCATACATTTTTGAGTTATAGGATCATTTTATGTTATCTTAAAATATAGTTTCATTTATATAAATAGTAGAAATGGTAACGCATTAAAAAACATTTTAACACCGTAGGTATACATTTCTTATTAAAACTGCAATAAAGAATTCCTGTTTAATTAATAGATAATGTATATTCGCGCCATCTGTCGTTAATTTAAAGAATTGTGTAAAGCGCCATCTATTGTACAGACAAGTTCAACACGGTGGTGGATATAAAACTGCGCGAGTGGGCGGAACGCGAACTACCCACGCAGTCAGTGGTAGCAGGCCGCGAAGCTCTGCGTGAAGAGTTCACAGCATTAATGGCGCAGGCACAGGACTCTGACCCTGTGTATGAGCCTGTTAAGAAGGAGGCAGTTGAGGAAGCCCTAAGTAGGCATACCTGGGAGGAACGAGCGCAGGACGTGAGTAAAACATGTTTTTTTTTATTACGAGAAAAGAAACAAGTGGATTGCGTGGAAACTATTTTTTTTAAATTACAAGCGTTATCTTTTTGCGGACACTGATATTATTTGATATATTTATTACTAACTAACAGCTAGTTACTCGCGACTTCGTCAGCGTGAAATTAAAAAAAATAAAAAACATAGCCTATGATACCCAAAACGTAGCTTTTAAATGGTAAAAGAATTTCAATACATACAAAAATAAAAGTCTTTTCTCTTTATAATATTGATATAGATTATTTTTTAGTATAATATAAATAGAGGTTATTTTTACAGGTTCTACGCGTGCTGCAGTTAAACGCGTTACAGGACCGCTGCGTAGCTTCGCGTGCGGACTGGGACGCTGCCGTCGCCCTAATGGAGACCGCCTTGAAGGAAAAACTCAGCGCCGTCGATGAGGAACTAAAATCACTTACAGGTTTCAACATTTTAATATATTGAGCGAACAATTTAATCGGAAAAAACTACTTTACACGTATGATGTTACAACGTATTTGTATATCTCATAGAAATTAATAATTAGTTTAAAAACATTTTCCATACTAAAATCTTGCAGTAGTTTTGTCGGTTAAAGTGAACACAACCAATAAACAAAGAAATTATCCAACAGCGCCATCTATTATCAGTATTAAGTTTCAATATTTCGGATCCTTA